CACACATCGCACATCGCACATCGCACATCGCACATCGCACATCGCACATCGCACATCGCACATCGCACATCGCACATCGCACATCGCACATCGCACATCGCACATCGCACATCGCACATCGCACATCGCACATCGCACACGCCCACCACACCCACACAGACAGACGCGCCCACACGCACTGATTGAGAGTTGCCTCTGCACCGAGGTTGGTACACTCCTCAGTCGACCTGCACACAAGCCAGTTGCTTTACAACGGAACATGGGAGGGCCCATGTTCCAAGGTCAGAGCTACCTGACTGTCCCACAGTCACCATGCACAGGAATGCTGACGCGACGAAGCTGCGAAGTTGCCAATGTGGTCACATGAGTCACATGTTGTCAATTCCCTTGCAGTGATGCGCTGCTCAGAGCGCCTCGCAGTCACACCAAAGCCAATGGGCACATCAGCCTTAGCCATACAGATCTCAGTGTTGGATTCCATGGTGAGAGCGGCTTTCCTTCGTTTCCCTCACGGGTCTGCTTTTGCTTCGACTGTCGAGTGCTGTCCGCATGCGCAGGAGATTCATGAGCCTCAGAACCGAAGGTTGAGAACTTCAACTGCATTCTAGGATGCTGCGTGCTACATCGTGCTACATCGTGCTACATGTGCTACGACCTTTTTAGGGTCCAGTCGCTCAGCTTTGGATTCAAAAGCAGGATGGCCAATCCCGCTCCGAGCGATTTCTAACCATGCCTCGACAACCAGCGTAGATCGGAAACTGTGCACTGGTTCGGAAAACTTCTTGTGGGGACCGGAGGTGCAGGAAACCACAAGGGCAGACTGGGGGTCGCGGGAACGCTTGCGATAGTACCTAAGTCCGCGTGACCACCATAACCACCATCATCACCACCATCCAGCAGCATAGATGAGGACACTCACAGGGCATTTGCAGTTCAACATGTGCCCCTTATATAAATCTTGTCGAGATTGTCCAGTTTCCTTCCCGGTTATACGTCCGCTTCCTTCACCCCGGCGAAAATCTGCTCTAACAGAAGTGTGAGAGACAGAGAGAGAAAGAGAGCATCGTCAATTCTCCATTTCGACTGCGGTTTTGTGGAGCATTCAAGCGGCCTGTGACATATTCTGCCCCTCAACAAAAGACCCTCTGTGGAGACTGATCCTCCTGCCTCATTCAGCACCACCACTCCAGCGTTCCGCGGAGCGCCCTCGGTAATGCGCCGGAGGTGGGCCTGGCAGCCGAAGTTTGCAAGGACTGAAGCCCATGAAATCCGAGTGTAGACATTCAAGATACATTCAAGCACTCATTGTACGATTCTACAAGGAATCTGATCCCTGAGGTCTTGTGAACGGGAACTACGTTTTCTCAATCTCATGTTGCTCTGCCCACCATGTCTCGCCCCAGACGGGCTACACAGGTGCAAGTGGCTGGGTTGCTTTGTGCAGATATCTGTAAAGTTCATGGTAAACTGGCACATCAGATGTCCACCCCGGAATGGCCGTTTGAAACTATGAAGCTATGACTCTTGTGAGCCTAGGGATGCTAGAGCGAGGTGAACTGAAGTTGACATGCGCATGAGGCATGTCAGGATGCCGCCTTGGCATGCCAGGCTTTTATGTCACCCAGGTACCAGCAACTTCAGCCACGTGCCCTGTTGCATGCAAGAGTATCGCAGAAACAGGGATGATGCAGCTGCAGGTCGAAAGCTGCTTTTCGTCGGAAACTGAAGCCTGCAATGCGGCATCCCCGTCAAGTCTACTAAACGCCAAGTTGAAAACATGCAGCAGGACCTTCTCGCAAATTGCTCTTGGCAACAGACATGTTACGTTCTGTGCAGGCGTGGCCACAGTATGGGCAGCAAGGAGAAGGGCCATCAAGACAACAAATTACACTGGATGGATCCTGGTGCCTCTGGCTTGTGAACCTCCGCAGAACTGCTACCTGCTTGTCTAAACATCGCAGCGCTCTGTGACTGTCAGGTCTTGTCAGAGCACTTCGGCAAGCCGCACCCAGTTTCGAAAGAGAGAATTGAATGCTGACCGGCAAGAGACTGGAAAGAGAGTTCAGTCTCAAGATCAGTAACGACAATTGCCAAACAAAAAGGAAGAAAAAACACTTTTTGCTGAAAGAACTGGAAGCCCTGGCACATGTGAGTCTGTGCTCACGACTCTAACTCGCCTTCCCCCCTCCGCCCCTCCGCCCCTCTGCCTGCCTGCAGGTGACCGCCCACCCGTGTCCGCCGTGATCCGCCGTGTCCGTGTGCTGTGCTTTTGTTGCTTTCGCCCATGGGCTTCCCAAGGCGCCCTACGGCTTTGATCCCATCATCCCAGCCACACCAAGCAAGCCAGTGAGAGTTCGACACTGGAACTACGCCTCAAGTGTACACAACAAGCAACGCGACCTCGTTGCGCACTTTCACATTTTTACATGGATACACGCAGCAGGCGGCGTCACAGAGTCGCACCATTGGCTTGCGCTCACGGCAGCCAAGAGCGTTCGACACCCCACCGTCCTTCAAATAGGGTGGAGCGGGCGCTGAGCGGGCGGGTCTTGCCAAGAAGAGGCTCCAGAGCAGCGAGCGCCTGCAACACGCGGCATTACGTTGCTACCTCACTTGAGCAACGAACGCCTGCAACACGCGGCATTCGTTCCTAACGTGCCATTACGTGCAAGCATGCACTTCACGACAGAACTCGTTTTGGCGCTCCCCTATCTACCAATCGAGCCCTGCCCCAGCCCAACCCATGCCATATTGCTGAACACTGTAAGGCAAGGCTGATACAATCTGAACCATCCCCTTCTGGGGACCTCGAAATACAAGCACTTCGAAGTGTTGCGACCTCGGCTGTTCTCAATCCGTGCTGTAACAGAGGACTCCAACCATACACCCCGTCTAACGGGCGCCGCTCAACAGTCCAACGGTAAGTTTCGATATGCTCTTCACCCCAACCAACTGAGGCTATTGAGGTGATAAGCGACTGCAAAATGGGATTCTGCCACCCTGATGATCTCAAATGTCAAACTTTTCACCAAACCAGGCTTTCGCATCCCAACCCTCAGGCCATTTCCCATTTGCAAAATCTAGGATTGGGGCTGATTGAAGAGTAAGTTTCAAAGGCCCACACGAGCATGTGGGTCCCAAATTGACGACTATGCAACATGACTTTCTCAAAGTTCCTCCTAGCCATGAGCGGATCACACGGACCGTCAAGATCATCGAACCAGACTCCTGATCCTAGCCATGCCGGCCGCCAGTCACGCACTCAACTCGACAAGCAACACTGGCACGCCAACCACCCGATTGGGTGGGTATGGCCAGCACAGGCGCAACACCTTAAGCCTGCAAACAACTCGAGTCTCGAGTTGCTGCTCGCAAGAGCGTGCAAAACTTCAGGGCGCGCATTTGCCACGATCCTTGCCTCAAGAAATTGTAAACTAGGCATTACAAGTATAAGTACGGCTTCATAGACCAACATCCAAAGCTGCATAAATGCCGGCGTGACAGTCATCTCCATGGCATCTCCCTTTTAAAGATTCAACGTGCACTCAGGCTACCGGGTCCCGAGTCTAGAAACAAGACGCTCAGCGGACCATGTCATCTGAAGCAGGAAAGATAGGACAGCGGAAGTCTTCCACAGGCTCCACCATGGAAGGCACTGAAGACTCTGCAACCCTGGTTGCATTAAAGCGTTGATTGCTCAGTCACGCGGCATTCTATGAGCATAACAGACATCAGAATTGGCGCACTTCCTCCTAATCTCGCACTTTCTGTCCAACTGCTTCAACGATGGCATCCACCAACTCCATAAAAGAAGTCCTCAGCTCCTGCTCACCTTTGGTGATTCCTCAGCTGCTCTCATCTGACAGCCGCTCCATGGCTCGCTCCTTGGCTGTCTCGGCATCAACGTGCTTTACGATTCCATCGTCAAAATATTCGCCTCGGCTTCCTGCCGAGAAGCGTCTGGAACAAGCAGACCCGGATCGGGCCTCCCCCCAACCCCCCTCCCCACCCCCCCCCCACCCCCCTCCCCCCTCCCCCCACCCCCTCCACCCCCCCCCCCCCCCACCCCCCCCTTTAACCCCGCTACCCTTCCTCCACTTTTTTTGCGAAACCCTCTTTCCTCCTTTCCTGTCCTGGGGCCGGCCCGGCTGCCGAGGCGGCGCGCGCAAGCGTTTACAATTATTCTAACAAAAAAAACGAACCTCCCGAACCTCACCCCCCTCTCAAACAATCCCAGGCCTCCGGTTGGCCACCCCCCCCCCCTGGCGGAGGTATGAGGACGATGCTACTTTATGCTCAAGGTTTGCCGGGGCCGGCCCGTGCCGCTGGGTTCGGACCTGCGAACTGACAAACCTTTAACGTGCTGTTTAGATTTTGGGCCTGGGCCAAGGTGGGTTCGCGGTGCTCTCTGCTCTTCGGAGGGACCCAAACCACAGCTGCATTGTCATAACCGGCTTGGCGTGCTTCCGAACGGTACTGGCCGAGTTCCTGTGTGCTTTAAGGCACATGACCTAACTCATTGCTGGGCTTGACGGTATCTTGCGATTTTGAAACGATGTCGGGAAAATGGGTCTCCCACGCCAGAACGCACACCGCTAATGCTCATGGGGAGGTATCTTCCCACCAATGAAACCACACAGATCCATACAGCATGGGCCAATGAAGAGAACGGCAGGAAAACCGCACTTGTGCAAGGCTTTTCCACCCTGAGCAAGCCTGCCCTCTCCTCAAATGTTGGTTAGCCGGTTAGCCCTAAGTGGAGGATGAACTGGTACCCCGCTACCCTGGGGCATACCCCTGTACTGCACACTTGACATGCACTCAGCGCTCCGATGCATCCCTCAGTGACTCATTGGAGTCTTTGAACATCCAAAGTCTACAAGAGTAGACACACTCCAGTCTTAAACGCTGCTGGAACTCGATCAGACTCAGGTACTCTCAAGTGCAGAGCAGGGTCAGATATGCCGATGAGGAAAAGTACAGTGCTCAGATCCATCTGGTTTATTCTGAAGCGGGAAACTTCCTGTACCTCGCATGGCTTGGTCTTCACTTCACTTACTTCATGACTTGCACGATCTTGCACGTGATTGCAGGGGCTCAGTGTGGAAGCAGCAGGTTGAGGCAGGCCTTTGGTTTCGCACAGAAGGCAATGCCGAGTCCAGCGGCATGGAGCATGGGAATGTCCTGCCAATGCAGCTACTGTTACCTAAGCCTACATGACCTCAATGCAAGCCCACAAGTTGGCAAACAAACTGCAGGGTCGTTTGCACCATCACCAACAGCAATGGTCTGCTGGATCTCGCAGCCTTTGGCCAACGTGGAGCTCTTGTGAAGAAACATGAAGCTGACAATCCGTCTGACACCAAGACGCCATCAGACTCGGCGTCGTGAATTGTGTTGCGAGCATGTCTGTAAAGGTTAGTGCTATGGCATGGTTGGCGTTGAAGTTCCTCCGTTGAACGCATCGTGCCAAGAACGACGTGATCGAAACCGGAAAGATCTTGCCGAGTGCGCCGCGAGTATCAAATAGAACAGATGACAGGGATCTGAAAAGTAGCCAAAAGTCAAAGGTCTTGTTTTGCATGAAGCAAGATCAGCCACCAACGAGTGCGGGCAAGCAAGGTCGATTTCGATCGACGTTTTTGCTGCGGGCTGTCTCGGTTCTTCCACGCGGCAAACCAATGCATGCTACCTGTCGTGCTCCTGCAATCGTCGAACGACCTCACACCCAAGCGAAATCAAGCGTGAGGTTTGCTTTTCAGTCCTCCCCACACGGGGGTTTGGTTTAAGGTTAAACGAATCAGACTTACTGTCACTCGACACTACATGGTCAAGCCTGCTTCAGACGTGTGCTTGTCTTGAGTTGTTCCCAACGCGCCTTCCACATTTGCGATGGTGGCGAGCAGTTGTCGCTTTCTCTGTGGCGTAACCACTGGCCCAGACGTCTTGCCTGTCAGGAGGCCTTGGCTATGCTTGTTTTGCAAGGTCAGGTCTGAAAAGATGCCTTATGCCTTCTAACACCCGTCTAACATCTTCTAACATATTGCATGGTGATCGAACCACATCAGGCCACACTTGGGTCCTGTGCTGACTGTAGTTGCTGCTCGGCGGCCTGTTGTTTCATCCACCTCCATTGTATTGGCAAAGGCATAATCCAGGCCCAAATACTTTTGAACCTGCTCCGGTGAGTCTTCAGGCAAAAGCGCGATCACTGCGCGAGCAAATGCGAACAAAAGAATCTGCAAGAGGATCAGTGTGGCAACATGAGCCTCCTGCGCCACTGGCAAGAAGCCGCCAGAGATCACGGCCGTCTTAAAGCCCAAACCTTGCTGTCTCATTCGGTGATCGCGGGGCTTAGGCTGGGAATGATTCGGGCCAAGAAGTTGCCAACAATTCTCTGGCCACATTCTCGTCTACGTAAAAATTGTTCTTTGGCGGGTTCGTTCTGGCACATATACATACACATATATCCGCCGACCCCAGCAACAGCGGGGCGGCGTCAGTGAAGACCCTCCCTGCCCTCACCGCAACCTCTTCCCCCTTCCCCTTCCCAACCATTCCACTCCACCTCTCCACTTGGCCTTGCCTTCTGCCCCTAACCTCCCACCACCAACCCCTTTCCCTCCCCCCCCTCCCTTTCCCGACCATTCCACTCCATCCCCCTCCCCTACCCCTTCCCCATCCCTGCCCCCCCTCTCACCGTACCCCCACTCCACCCACCACCAACCCCCTTCCCCGCCCCTAACCCTCCCACCAACCCTCCATCCTCCTCCCCTACCCCTTCCCCACCCCCAATCCACCCTTCTCCAGCCACTGACCTCATCTCCTCCACCTACCCCCCTCCCCCCCACTCCCACCACCAACCCCTTCCCTGCCCCTCCCACTACCCTTCCCCTTCCCAACCATTCCACTCCATCCTCCTCCGCTGCCCCTTCCCAACCATTCCACTCCATCCTCCTCCCCTACCCCTTCCCCATCTCACCGTACCCCCAATCCACCCACCACCAACCCCTTGCCCGCCCCTAACCCTTCCACCACCAACCCCTTCCCCTGCCCCCCCCCTACCCTTCCCCTTCCCAACCATTCCACTCCATCCTCCTCCCCTCTCTACACTTGATCAGATTACTGACTTTAAAGGGCTCCAGCGCATGCCCGCCCCACCCCCCCCCCAACCCCGCCGCCCCCCCCCCCCCCCACCCCCCTCCTCCCCCGACCCCACCCCCCCCCACTCCCACCACCAACCCCTTCCCTGCCCCTCCCACTACCCTTCCCCTTCCCAACCATTCCACTCCATCCTCCTCCCCTCTAGACTCGATCAGATGACTGACTAAAGGGCTCCAGTGCATGCCCGCCCTCCGCTTGCTCCCCCCGCTCCGCTTGCTCCGCCCTTCCCTCCCCCCACCCCACCCCCCCCCCCACCCGCTCCTTCCACCAACCACCCCCCCTCCCCCCCACTCCCACCACCAACCCTTCCCTGCCCCCCGCTCCCCACCACCCTCCCCCTTCCCAACCATTCCACTCCATCCTCCTCCCCTACCCCTTTCCCCCTCTCCCGTACCCCCAATCCACCCCCACCACCAACCACCCCCCCCCCCCCCCACCCCGCCCGCCCCCCCCCCCCCCCCCCCACCACCAACCCCTTCCCTCCCACCTTCCCCTTCCCAACCATTCCACTCCATCCTCCTCCCCTCTCTACACTCGATCAGATGACTGACTTTAAAGGGCTCCAGTGCATGCCCGCCCGCTCCGCTTCCTCCGCCCGCTCCGCTTGCTCCGCCCCCCCCCACCCCGCCCCCCACCCCCCTCCCCCCCCCACCCACCCCACCCCCCCAACCTGCCCCTCCTGCCAATCCACCTCCTCCCCCCTTCCCCATCCCGCCCCCCCTCTCACCCTTGCCCACCCACCGCGCTGCCTTACCCCTTCCCTGCCCCTCCCAGACCCTTCCCTTCCCAACCATTCCACTCCATCCTCCTCCCCTACCCCTTCCCAACCATTCCCCTACCCCTTCCCCCCCCTCTCCCCCCACCCCCCACCCTTCCACACCACCCTCCCCCCCCACTCCCCCTCCTACCCCCCTCCCCATTCACTCCATCCTCCTCCCCTCTCTAGACTCGATTAGATCCGCTCCGCTTTCTCCGCCCGCTCCGCTTGGCCCTTCCCTCCCCCCCCCACCCCGCACCCCCCCCCCACCCCAACCCCCCCCCCCCACCCCGCCCACCCCGCCCAACCCCCACCCCCCACCCCCCCCCCCCCCGCCACCCCCACCCCACCCACCCCACCCCCCCCACCCAACCCTCCATCCCCCCCCCCCCCCCCCCCCACCCCCCCCCCCAACCCCTCCCCGACCATCCCTAAACCCTCCACTTACCTCATCTCCTCCACCCCCCACTCCCACCACCAACCCCTCCCCTGCCCCCCTCTCCCCCACCACCCTTCCCCTTCCCAACCATTCCTCCACCCCCCCCGCTGTTTCAGGGCCAATCCACGCCCGACCTGGACCGCCTCCCCCACTCTCTCTGCCTTCCGCCCCCCAACTCCCCAATCCCCCCCCCACACGCCCACCCCCCCACCACACACCCCCCCCCCCGGCCCTATGCCCAGTGGCTCATGGCCACCTGGTTGTACGGGCCTCTACCACGCCCCCTCACTTCCCTCACCCCCCACCCCCCCCCCCTGGCCAGCTCTTCCCAACCATTCCACTCCATCCTCCTCCCTTACACAGTGGGCCCTTTTGAATAGGCCACTTATAAGTCACTTCTATAAGTCGATAGCCAAAAGGGCTGTTTTGCTATTGACTTAGAACCCACTTATAACTTTGCTATCTTTAGTTAACTTCTGTATGTAAGTTAGAGGTGACTTATATGTGAAGCTATCTTTTTGCGTCTGTTTTGCATCATTTCTTGTATCGATTGCTATCTTTTTTCAGTGTTAGTCGCAGTCTTACATCCGAAAAGAGGTTTCGGTGTGTTTTTTTGAGCCCTGCAGTAGAAGTTTCAGGATGTATAAAAAAGGCAACATTTCAAGGCACGCATTGACACTGTTCTCGCGGGAGGAGCCGCAGTGATGGATCGGTGTATATACAATGTTATGCATATATAATATACATAAGATTGATTGATGACACTTTAAGATATGGTGATTCGCTGGCAGGGGTCTGCAGCTTCGGCAGGTAGCTCTGCAGCCTGTCGCAGGACACACAGACCCAGCTCAGCGTGCTCTTCTGCCTGCCCTCTACCTGCTCTGTGCCGCACTTGGAGCACACCGGCATTACGCCAGGCAAGAAAGGGCAGGGAGAGGTGCTACAGAGGCTGGCGAGCAAGCAGCTGCAGCGAACAGTGAACTCTCAGAGAGGATTTTGGACTATTGCTAACTCAAAACTGGACCGAAAATGAGACCGGGCGAAAGGCAGCAGAAGGCAGCGGGAGGCAGCAGGGCCTGCTGCCTCCCGCTGCAGCCGGGCCGGGAAGTCTGCAGGGCTCCGAGAAACTGTCCCGCCGTGAGACTGCTGGCAATCAGCCCGGTCCGAAAGAGGTGGGACTCGGGCAGCTCGAAGAAGACGGGGACTGCTCGCATGGACTTGGGCTCTGCAGATAAGATGTTCTCAGTGACATGTGCTGGGAAGAGAGAAGTTCAGAGTCTCAGAGAAGCGAACCTGCTGCTACAGAGCATGGACTACTTCGGGGATTCCAGAAGTCAGAAGAGGACAGCAGCGGGGCAGAGTGCTATAGGCAAAGCTGCTGCTGCAGCGACCGTCCGGACCGCCGCTGAAGCTTGCAAGCACGGATGGGCAAAAGCTTCTTCTGGAACCCGTCTTAGAACTGGAGATCTCTACCGTGCCTGCTTCTGAGCAGAGACCCCACAATATACATACTAATACCATATATAAATTGACATATATATATATATATATATATCCATGTATATCAACTTTCTCCTTCCCCATAACAAAAATAGGTGGCCTTCTCGGCACGTTTTGACAAAAAAGATCAAAACCTACGTGGGAAAACAGGCAAGCCTAACTTTTTCGCTGGTTTTGCTGTTGCTTTTTTGACCGCCAAGCTAACTTCTGCTAACTTTCCTATCTGCAAAGCTACTTTATGTTATCTTCTGTTAAGTAGTTATAGCGACTTATACCGACTTAGCGTTGCCCCAACACTAAGTCGTTATAAGTCCTTATAACCACACCTATGTTGGGACAAAGATAGCGTTAGCTAGCACCGGACTTAGCTCACTTACAAGAGGACTTGACCCACTTACAACCATACTTAGAACCCACTTATAAGTGGCCTATGTAAAAGGGCCCACTGTGTACCCCTTCCCCCATTCCACTCCATCCTCCTCCCCTACCCCTTCCCCATCCCTGCCCCCCCTCTCACCGTACCCCCAATCCACCCACCACCAACCCCTTCCCCGCCCCTAACCCTCCCACCACCAACCCCTGCCCCTCCTCCCACTACCCTTCCCCCCCTTCCCCACCCCACCCACTTACCTCATCTCCTCCACCTACCCCTCCCCCCCACTCCCACCAACCCCTTCCCCTGCCCCTTCCCCTTCCCGCTCCCCTCCCCCTTGCTCCCGCCCCCGGACCGCTCCCCTTCCCCATCTCTGTCCCCCCTCTCACCGCTTTCACCCAACTTGCCACCCGCCAACAGTCGCTGCATCTATCGAGTAGCGGATGTACCATGTCCCGGGCCGCTGCGTCTATCAAGTTGAGGATGTACCCTGCCCCGCTCGGCTCCCCCCGCCCTCCCCCACCCCCACGCCCCCCCCCCCCCCCCCCCAGGCCACCGGTTTTACGGGCCTCGCCCTTGATGGTCCCCTGGCCCTGTCCCTCTGTGCTGGCTCATGCCCCACAGTTTTACGGGCCTCTGGCCCTTTGCCTCTCTGATGACTTTAAAGGGCTCCCATGCCTGCCCGCCCCTCCGCTTGCTCCGCCCGCTCCGCTTGCTCCGCCCTTCCCTCCCACCCCCACCCCCCCCCGACCCCCCTTCCCACCCCCCGCCCCCACCCCACCCCACCACCAACCCCTTTCCCGCCCCTTCCCCCATTCCACTCCTCCCCTACCCCTTCCCCTCTCACCGTACCCCCACCACCAACCCCTTGCCCGCTTCCACTGCCCACCCCCCTCACAAACCCTAACCTTCCCCTTTCCCAACCACTCCACTTCCTCCTCCTCCCCTTTACCCATGCCCCCACCACCCCAAATCCCCCTTCTCCTGCCCCCTTTGATTTTTTGCCCCCTCCAGCCCCCTTACCTACTAAGGCCCCTGACAAAATGCCTCACATCCCCCCCCCCCCCCCCACCCCCCCCCCCCCCCCCCCACCCACGCACCCCACCCCCCACCCCACCCACCCAACCCCCTGCTTCCGGCCCTATGCCCAGTGGCTCATGGCCACCTGGCAGACCCGTTCAGCTGACTGACTTCAAAGGGCTCCGCCCTTCCCGCACGCTCCGCCCATCGCCCCCTCACTTCCCTCACCGTCACCATCCCCCCCCCCCCCCCCCTCCATTCCACTCCACTCCCTTACGGGTCTCAGACTCCAGTTACCTGGTTTTACGGGCCTCGCCCTTGATGGTCCCCTGGCCCTGTGGACTCGATCAGATGACTGACTTTAAAGGGCTCCAGTGCATGCCCGCCACCTCTGCTTGCTCCGCCCCCTCTCTTTCTCCGCCCTTCCCTCCGCCCCCCCACCACCCCCCCCCCCCCCCCCCCCCCCCACCCCCACCCCCCCCCCCCCCCCCACCCCCCCCCCCCGCGCGCCCGTCCTGCGGTCGGGGCGCCGCATCGCGGGCTTAGGGGGGGGGGTCTGGGGGAGGGTCGGGTGTGTTTGGGGGGGTTTGTGGGGCAGGGTGGGTTTCGGTTTTAGGGTTTAGAGGTTCTTAGGTAAGGTTTGGTTTAGGGTTTAAGGACGTTTGGTTGAGGGTAGGGTTTAAGCGTTTTGTGGTTGAGGGTTGAAGGTTTTAGGTTGTTCTTTTGCGTGTGAGGGTGAAGGTTTGGCCTTAGTAAGGAAAACGAAACATGTGGCTGAAACGTGTGCGGCACGATGTGGAACATCACGTATGTACGGGGGGTCAAACCTTTTGTTTGCAAATAAAAAAACACTTACGGCTCTTGTTCTCAATGTCTTCTTCAGAAAATGTTCCAAGTTTGGGGCTCCGAGATCAAAGTTGCATACCGCATCAGAGGGCTCTGTCCAAGGATTGAAGTGGCAAATTTCTTGGTCTGTACAAAGAATGAAGCGGCAAACCCATAGGTACGTAAGCAGAAATCCAGGCCCAGATGCAACGAAGGCTACAACCTAGACCCTGATGGATTTAGGGTTTGGGGTCTAGGGTTTAGGGTTTACTGGGTTTAGGGTTTAGCGGGTCTCGAGGTTTAGGAATTGGAGCTCAGGAGGGTTTAGACCTTGGAAAATTTGGGGTCGGCGGCACTGGCGGTAGCCATTAAATATGTATGTATATATGTATATAGAGGAAGCCCTCCTTGCGAATTGCTCGATGCTTGTCTGCTGGGCCAACATAAGTCTTGCCCAATATGGTCAAGCCTTTATTCCAGCTTCCATCACTAGTCGGACCCGCTTTCTCAGAATGACTTTCGGAGTGTGTCGGCCTGAAAACCGGCTTGGTTGCCCAGCTGGCTGGGCGAAAAGCCTACTTTCTGACAAAAAAGATCGCGATCTGGGCCTGTCATCACCTTCCCCATGTGACGGCTGGCACTGACTCTCTTGAACTCACTTGTACGTCTTGCGCGCAAACCGAAGTCGCAGGAAAATATGCCGCTGCATTTGCGCTTTCCCTCGGGGCCAGCTTGGCAAAAACAACTCGAAGCTTCGAAAGTTTCGAAAGTGTTTTCCACAGGCTCGTGCCGGCGCAGAGTGCTGTCACTACTTGTGTTTGGCGTTCGCTGCCCTTCGCATCCTTCATTGCCTACAGTTGGGTGCTTCATAATCGAAACCAGCGGTACTGGACTCTACAATACAGTTTGTTTGCCAAACCTCGCCTTTGTATAGCCTTTTGGCCTGGCCACCGATCTTGCTCGGGGTTCGTTCGGCGACCTGAACACGAGCAGCAAACATGTCCAGAAGAGGCGGTCGGCGCCGGGCGGCACATAGAGGTGCGAGACCAGATTGCTGAGGGAGGTCGTGGCTTTGGATTTGGCTCAACTAAACGCACAGCTTGACGGGTACTGCCAACTGCACGACCAAAATAAATCACATCAATCGCGGCATGTCCAAACGGGAAAGTCCTCATAGCGTGCGCACTTCGATGACGTAGATATACGTAGATCAGTGTCAGCAGTTTATTTGTGACAAATATTGCATCTTGCCCAACTAACAGAGGCCTACTGTATGGTCTGGGATTGTCGGGGCGCCCAGCAAAAGGAACTGATTTTGCTTGTCGACTTCTTCCAGGCTCCGAAAGGCTGGCCATAGTGCCGAAAATGTCTGCGGCGATCCAGAGCCCCGGCAGCCGGCATTCCTGACATTCCTGGCCTTCTCCAGCCAGCTCCAGGCTGAGCTTGAAGTTTTGTTTGACGTGCCGTATTGTGCGCTTGAAGACCTTCTGCATACAAGGTGTTGCTGCACAGTGGGCGCTGTTTGCAGGAAGAGTGGGCCGTCGTCGCCCATCAACCAGCCGTTGGCCAACCGCGGCTCGGTTTCGAGACCTTCAACTCCTCTTCACCGGCCAATGGGATTGAGGAGGATCGGGCAAACGCCAATTACCAGGTCGGGTCGGTAGCAGCAGCCCAAAGGCAGTGAGTCAGGCTCTGAAGGAGTCCAGCAAAGGCGCAATGCGCTCTAGACGTAGTGTCGGCATCTATTTCTCCTAGCGCTTACGGCCCCTTGCCCCTTCGGATCCAAAAGGATTTTGGTCAGGGGCAAAAGACACACAGAGATGGCCCGGAGGGTTTTCTCAATTAGCAGGAAAAATTGAGCCAATATCACGCCAAGACGCGAGGAGGAAGAGCTAGCCGCTACTGGCCGCTGACCCGAACAAGCATTCAATCCATTGAATGTGTGTCAGCGCCCTCTCTGCAAGCTAAGCGTTACTGGATGCGTGCCAACACAAAAGTCATATAAATCATTCTAAGTCTAGCGACATTTTGGGATTTTGGTGGGGGCGTGCAGCTCAGAAACGCTTCAGGCATGTGCAGAGCTTCTTGGCGCCCGGAGTAAAGATCAAGTTTGCCTCTTGCAAGCAGACCGTCGTAGCCGCTGGTGTTCAGATCTGTGCAACACTGGCACTGCTTAGAGATGCAAATGTGCGATGAACCGTGCACGGAAGTATGCTGTGGTGCGCCTTCACCTTTGCAAAGAGCTCTTCCGCATTGTGGCCTCTCACACAAGTGTTCTTTTGCAAAACCTTGAAAACTTTGAACAGGGAGCATTTCTCCCAGCGTGTCAGATTCCTTAACTGAGATCTCACAGCGGCTTCACATCAGCTTCAGCTTCTACACTTCAACGCTACTCTTGGCCCCAATGTCTTCTTGGAGGATATTGGTCCGCGCAGCAACCAAACACAGAAAGTGGCAGCAGCGGCCTTTCAGCAGCGCTACGCGGGACTTCAGCGATCCAAAAAAGTCGAGTTCGCCGCGCATGGCTGCCTCGGTGATCTCCTGTCAACTGAACTTGCATCTTCAGCACCATGCCAGCGCACACACGCACACACACACACACACACACATACAAACAAAAGCGGACATGCACGCACGGAGAGACAAAGGCAAAAGGAAGTACGATGACTTCTCTCTAGGAAGGCTTTTCGCAGGCTGTTTTCCGGCTAGAATGATTTGCTTCTCCAGTTGGGACTGAGTGCCCGTGTTTGGAAATGCTATCGGTCGCAAACTCGAGCCTGCACGTCGCCCACGATCAAACACTAGATGGAGAACCGAAAAGGCAGGATAGCCACGCAACGATGCAAAGCAGGTGACACAAGCTTCAAGGTTTTCTGACAATCCTGGCCTTTACTTGACTCTCGACCCCAGCAAGCTTGGCCAGCTCGTCAATCACCTCCCATTCAACATCGCATTGCCGTATTGCCCGGATTCTGCGCGATATTGCGGGATGTACAATCAGGGAACACTGAGCTACAAAAGCTGCTTTTTCGTGCTACGCAAAGGCGTGCTTAACGAATGCTTGGACACAGCCGCCTCTTGCTGGATCAGGGTGCTGTCCATGTCAAAGACGACTAAGCCTGCGGAAAAGGAAGTGCAAGTGTCACGGATAGGACCGTAGCTCAGCCGAACAGCTTCTGAACATGAGCCGGGGCAGATTCCACAATTACAGTAATGTCGTTGCTCGACATGCAAATCAGATCACATGTCAAGAATTGGAAGATTCTGTGGCGCTAAATTCCCACTGGACTGCATGATTGCAGAGGATGGCACGTCGCATCCAGCGCTCCAGATCATCCCGCTGAATGGCAATGTCCTGAGAACAAACAAAGGCTACAGAACATCAATGATAACAGAAATTGGTGGGTGGGTCCAGCATGGTCCCCCGTCACAGTTCATTGCACACGTCACCCGCACCACCTCTCATATCCTCTCACTAACGACATGGGATGCCGAAGTTCAGCGCCCTGGCGCTTGGAGAGGTCGACCTCCGATGTTCCGGACTCTTAGAGCAACATAGCGCGTGTGGATTCTCCTTGAAGACATGCTTCTGAGTCAAGACGAGCCGCTAGATGCTTGGAGAATTCATCTGATGAGAGGCTGTCAGGCAAGCTCACCTCTGCGGTTCAGCTGCCCGCTTCGCGACACTTCCAAAACGGCTTGAGAAAGGCTTTGTCATGCGATGATATGCGATGATATGCGATGCCTTGCGTTGCCATGCCTCTCGAAATCGAAATCTCACGTTGAGGCAGGGTGCTGTAAATTGCAGGGATGCGATGTCGCGGCTGCTCAGCCCTCGGCCCGCATCATGCACAAAGCCCACGCAACCCCGTCTTTTCATGGCCCGTTGCCCTGTGTTCTTCCTGCCACTGGACACTTCCTCGCAAGAGTGGACTGTTCCCAAGCGATCTCAAGAGAAATGGTATGACAGACAAGCGGCTCTCTATTTTGATGATGTTGATGCTCTTGGAGCCGAAAACGTTCATCACCTCAGCGACAGAGCTTTATTCGCATCGGCTTCCTGCCGAGAAGCGTTTGGCAAATATCACCCCCCCCCCCCCGCCCATCGCTTAGCTGCAAACGGATGCTTTTGGGTGCCCCCCCCCCCCCCCCCCAAGACCCCCTGGGACCTCCCATGGGACCCCCCTGGGATGCTGGGACCCTTCCCTTCCCCTTTTTTTGAGGCCTTTCCCAGCAACTCCGAGGTGGCGCACGTAAGCGTTTACAATTACATGTGTGGCATCAGCTGAATGATGTATCTGGATGCCCGGACTGGTAAGGGTGGCGGTGCATGTAGATCGTGGAAAGGTGTTTCAATGACAAACACGGCAACAGCACCTTCACCGACAGAGCTCCGAAGTTTATGCGGGATAGCTGTAGTTGCAAAGTCATGAAAGTGTATAACGAAGAACGCAAATTGCTAGCAAGACACCTTGCCACACTGCCAAGGAAACAAGACACCAAGAGTTCATCTTGCACATACAGCAGCAGCCAATAGAGCTGGTATCGGTGCCAGTGGGGATTCTCCAAAATGTGTTGGTGGGGCTTTGAAACAACAATCTATGGAAAGGGGTTTCCAGTAGATGTCTGTCGCTATATGTCGCCATGTGAGGTTTCTATCTGCTGTTGAATCGGTAGATGTGTTCTATCTGGTTCTGCTCTCCGTATTGTCTGCTTTGTGTGACTTCATTGGTTTGCAATTGTTTTCCAGCTGTTTCTTCAAGTCACACATGTGTGCTACGCTTTCAACCTTCGTTGTTTTCTACCTCAACAGGCTTAAAGACATTACTTCGGCTTCCCGTTACGACGTGACTCTTGCTGATCCTTCTGTGTCACTTGATTGTTTGCGTTGAGCCTCATGCACCGGTTTCCGAACTGCACCGCCGTCGCCACGATCACCACCGGCACGCATTAATTCGACACTTCAGGTCCAGGGAAATTGGCTTGATCGAAAGCCAACGTTGGCGTTACAGCACTGTTGCAGAGAACCCGGCACGGAGACCCTCATTTCATCCACTCAGGCACATTGCACGAGGCACCCCACAGATGTCCACACTTTAACTCTCAGCAAGATCGCACGGAGCATTCTTGCCAGTTTTTCGAGCCTGCTAAACTTTGGCTCAACGCTGCCGGTGACATCCAGCCAGGCGGCTTCGCTCAGCGAAGTGCTGCTGATGTTGGGCTTCTGCACGAGAGTCACAACCTTCATGTGTGAATCATGCGATGAACACGCCAGCACCAAAGTTGCAAAAGGCAATGCTGGATCACTGAATCTGAGGCGAGAAACATATCGGTTCTGATACCGCAGCTGCCAGTTAAAGTCTTTCGCAGAGTCATTGACATCCATGATGGCAAAGCCTTCCTACTTGTAGCAGGCTGGAAGACAAGACACGGGAACTTTCGACTGTAGCAACGGCTCCTGACATGACCCTTACTGACTTACTGTCCGCTCCTGTGAAACTTTCAAAGTGACTCACGGCGCTTCCCTCATTCGGAGTCCTTCTGGCAGGTGTAAACAAGCTCCTTGACAACAGCATCGGGGTGGTCCTGCAGAAGTTATCCATATGACTCATATGACGTCTTCAGATCTCTTCGTCGGATCTTGTGTCCAGGCCTTCAGGACTGTCAGGTCCAAACCAAGGCACATGCCACCATCCTCGGCGACATGCACTTCACCTGTACTCCCCCCCGAAGAACTGACAGCGGCAAAGGCCCGCCTGCAAGCTGCACTGTCGCACTGTTGACAGCTGCACATCATTACCTGGCCCGCTCAGAGCAAGGTCTTGTACTTCACTGAGTATGGAAGCAGAGTATGTAGCTCATGGTCTTACGATGTCTTGTGTGTTGTCTGCCATGTTTCGTACTTCTCCGTTCTCAAACAATTCTGGCCAGAGAGTCGCAAAGGGGCCAGGGGATGGAAAATCCGCTGCAGTTGGCCAGCGCTGCGGGTCTGGGCACTGACCTCACGAAAATTCCGCCTCACCCTCGCAAACTAAAGGCAAGAACTTGACAGCACTTGACGTATCTTGACGTTGCATGCATTGTGAACTCCCGTACTCGCTTTGTCGGCTTTATATCTTTACGTGTCCCCTCTTGACTTGCGCTTTTCTCGCATGCCTCTACGGATACACTCAAACTGATCAGAAAGGTGTTGTGTCGTGCTGGTACAGGCGGGGCATGGGGCATCATCATGCGGCCTTTTCCAAGTAAGTGAAGCAAACACATGCAAAACTCTATGCAAACTCTCTCAAGATTGGCGATCTTAATCATGCTTAAGGCTTAAAGCTCTTTCTTCTCGGAATGCAAAGTCACCTGCACCATGAAGCGCTTGGCGGGTGTGGAGGGCACGGCCGAGCCCGAAGGCTCCTGGTGCTCTGACAGTCTCTGACATGCTCTGACTGCTCTGACCACGAGACATTGCAGTGCCCCATTCAATCTGTGACCACTACGTCCAGAAGATGTAGGATGTACCATAGACTTTAGAATACTACAGAAAGCTTTATGGTGTACTTTATGGAATACTAGAATGTGATCGGGCCATTTTGCGGAGCATGATTTTAGCAGGCAGTACCAGTGCCGAGCGAATCCCGATCCAGACTCCGTTCCGGTACGTTCCAGTTAGCAGTCAGATGTCTGCAAGATTTTCGAAACTTTCTCCGCGCACCCAGGACATGGTTTTGGCAACACGAGTACGCAGGGTTCCGTGCATGTGCAACAGTAACTCATGCGCGAAAATCATGAATATCAATGTGACCTACACAGTGGATAAATCTGATCTCAAGAACTCCTGTGTCCCGGGGCCGTCGTCCCAGCGTCGTTTCCTATCAGGGCAAGTGACATGCAAAGGACATGCATGGCACACCCACCATGACCCACCGCTGTCTGCCTTTCGCACATCTGCAAACAGCTACTGAGCGAGATTGAGCTCTTGTAGCGCCAAGCTTCCTCAGCGCCCTCACATCCGAGCCGCTGAAGCCCAGAAGGTAGAGGACTATGGTAAGGTCCGGCATCCTAAAAGGCAGAGCATCGCGGATCAGTGAGGTCTGTTCAACATCAAGTGCATGGATCCTGTGCACATCGAGCAAGAAAGCATGCTGTAGGACCTTTAGGGGTGCTGTGCTCATCAGAGTTAAAGCTGAAATTTGGAAAGGAGAAAGGATATCTGCCATGTGCCACGACAGGGATACAATGGGATACAGAACGATACAGAGAGCGCCCACAACAGTTCCACGACAGTGCCCATGAGGCCCTTAAACTGGTCCTGTGGTACAAGGCAGGAGACTTCCGAGGCGATCCGAAAATTGGGGCTGGCTAACAGCAGACGAAACGTCTCCCACAGGCCCGGATGCGAGAAAAAGGCTTATGTGGACTTTGGCGGAAGTTCCGCTGGACTTTCACGAAATTTTGGAGAGCTAGGATGCGTCACGCTTTCGCGAGATCTCAGTCTACTTTGGCAAACACCATCGCGAACTTTCGCGCCATGCATTCAAGCTTGCGAATGCCTATTTTTGAGCCAATGTTCGAGCTGCTAAGATACGGTGGCCTCAAAACTTTTGCTCAGAAGCCATGCGTCTTGGTAGAATTGAAGAAGACGTTGGGTCCGAACGTTTCCAGCATGAGCCGCGCATTTGCAGCCTGCCAAGCCGTGGCATCACAGCAAAACTCTGCAAACGCGCAACAAATAGGGCAAGACCAAGAATCAAGCCCACCCGCCTTCAGCCCCTTCAGAGGCTCTCCGACTGTAATCACGTTGCGGTAATCAACGCCTTTCAGAAGAGAGACAGACCAGGTTTGCTGCTTTGCATAGAAATTCATACACATGGCAGGCCGCTCTACGGAATCAACTCAGATCTGTCACAGCTAGCCTTCCCTCTCTGCCATGAGTTTCAGCAAATCCGCTTTTCGGAACTTCACGTCTGAAAGCTCGCCCAAGTACCTGCAACTGTGGGCCCAGTTAATGTAGCTCTTGCACGCCTACGGTCTTCAAACGAAACGAAAGCTGACCTTAAACTCTTTTCAGCCCCGTCAGCTGGAATCTGAAGCACAATGCTTGGCCACTGCACTGCCGCTGCTATGTCCGCGTGCCGGGGAAACTGCAATTATAGGCGCAATTCAGTACTTCAATGTACTTCACGATATTTGTGACAAGACGATGAAGTTGCCAGGCGATTCACTCGCGCAACCAAGCCAAAGCAGCAGCTACAACTAGAATGCAATGCCGGGAAGTCGGCTCGCCATGGTCGTTGATGGCACCCCCGTTCACCCCCCCTGTAATACTTCCTCCGTTAGGAGCTGCGCAGCCCACCCCCTCACCTCCCTCCCGAAGACTCATTGTTGTAGGAAGTGCTTCTGCGAGAGCGACCTCCGGCCGAGGCGAGTCACGTGGCGTTAAAATTATTCGCCTGCCAGTGAAGCAGCCTTCCTCGACTTCAACGTCGCGACAAATCCTGAGCCAATGGACGGCATAAATGATCCTGTTGCAGAGGCGTCTGCATCAGCTAGAGATTCCTCTAGAAACTTCTTCAAATCCGTTACACGGCATTCAAGGCTCACGTAGTCGAAGCCAAGCTGACTCTTGACGTGTTCTGCGATCTCTCGCATGCCTTGGCATGCAAGTCGTACCCCGCTTGCTCCTAGACAATAGGCTTCGCCAGGTTCTTGCAAGCTATCATGACGACGTATGGCGTCGTGCCACTCTCCTACCTAGCTGAGGCATCCATCGGTCGAAACACACCTCTTCATTCTGCGACTGAGTCATAAAATTCTGCAATGCTGTATGCAACAAAAGTGCCAGTGTTTGTGAGGATGGCAAGGCGGCAGCCCAGACGCTTCATGGCAGAGCACACCACCTGCGCAGTTCACTCTCTGCGTACGCGCACTCTCGGCCCTGATGTGTCCTGAGGCATCCCGGCACTGTGCCCCGCCCTCTGCAGACACTTAACTCAAATCATCTCAAATCCCTTCAACTTGAGGCCAGTTTCAGGCTTGGCCTTGGCGCCGGGGGTGAAGGGCAAACGGTCTATCACCTTGCGCACCAGTTGGGTGCTCTTGCCTGCGGCACCAGGCAGCAAGCAACATTCTGAAACTCCTGAGATGTCTTCAATCAGGCTCTTGCTTTCCAAAGGCTGGGTCTAGCAAGACCTAGACAAAGATTTAGAAAAGCAGTGGCGACAACCAGCACTGTCGATTGTGGAGGAGCCAGTAGCCTTTGAGCAGGGCTAGCTTCGCCGACTCGACCGCACCTGCCAAGAACGAAGACTGAGATGTCTAATGGGCCTAATCCCTTCCCGCGGTTGTTTGAGGTCCCCCGCCTCCCGCCCCCAAGATTCCATAGTCTCTAGAAGTCTTGAAATGTCTTGAAATGAGGTGACAACTCCGGGTCATAGGGGTCGAGGGATTAGCGTTCGAGGTTTGGAGAGCTTAAGGTCTTGGGAGATATGGTCGAGGGTATAGGCTTTTAGGGGTTCTGGCTGAAGTTGTGAAAGTTCTGGGCCGGGCTTTGGGCGAGCAGTTAAGGGGTTGCAAGGGCACAGCAATGCACATTCAAGGGGTGTGTTATTGATGCACAGGAAAGTCCTAGCAAAAGCAGCCCGGCAGCCTTAAAAAGCAAAGACACCTACTAGACCAGCCATATGTACCCTTAGCACGGTAACTGTTGCGCATCAGGGGACGCAGAATGAAGTACAGAAATTGATGTAAAATCGCAAGATACTTGTTGACCAAGGGCCAAGCCGAAACTGCTGCTACTAGTGTGAAAGGGCATTCGCACGTGCACGTGCTTCGGCTTCTTCGACCATGCGCCAACAAAATCCAGGAACCCAACTGTCAACCTACTCAGGCCCGGTAGTGAATCGCTGCACCGTGGCATCTTATTAGCCTCATTGATGTACTGTACTGGAGTTCGCTGTCCATAGGAGTTCTCAAGTATAAGGAGGGAATCGGGGAAGTGCTTCGAAAAGTGAGGCCTGGCTGACATGGCTCTGACTTCGGCGATGCAGGGTCGACTCCGGCCTGTTCGGCATGTGGCGTGTGTTGCGGGTTCAAATCGTTGGCAGGGCGTCTGGTGGATCTTTGTGGATCTAGTGCAGATCTGGTAGATGCGCAATGATGTGCGTGTAATGCTCGTGCTGCTTGCTTATTTATGTTGTTTATGCCGGCACTGGCTGGTTGGTCTGCGTCCTGTGCAAGCTGAATGGTCTTCATGCTCGGCGATTGTTTCTTAGGGCCGCTGGTGGCCTCTCAGCAAAGTTCTCCACTGGCGTCACGGCCCTTCGGAATCCTTCGGACTGGTTTGACTAGGAGATGTGTCTTGAACCTAGAGGCCAGTGTCTACAACACTGCCCGGAGACTTCCGCAGTGCGAAAGCAGAATTCGCTTCATGGGAAATACGACATCCGTCAACCAGCACCCAGGAAACTTCCATGATGCAAGGAAATGCAAGGAGTTCAAGGGAGCACCACGGCAGCTCTGTACGTGGTTTCCCCACGGAAAGGTGCCAGATCCTCAAATGAAGGATTGTGCGTCAGGATGCGTCAGGCGAGGACGAAGCATGTCTGGCAAATACAGGGTCCTGATCACTCATGCCTCAAGCCTACTGCACTATGCTACACGCATAAAAACCTAAGAGAAGAACTGCACACCACTTAAGCACAAGCCCGCAGATGCTCTTCCTAGTACTGGAACCAAATCCTCACTAGTACCATGTATCGTGGTGCCCCTGTGACTTGTACGAGCATGACACCATCAGCGCGAAACACCGAGAGAACACAACAATCCGTGCCTCCTGCAGCACAAGATCCAGAACGTCATCTGGACCTGAAGGCATCTAGCATATCCGGCATATCCACGTTGCAGCTAGTTCTCGACTGGACAGTGATCATTCTGATTCTGCTTCGCCTAGCTTGCCTGGCATCTGGCTGCCACGCACTTGACGACGACAAAGCGACACAAAGCGGGAGCACCGATCCAATCGTTGTCAAAGATGCTCGTTCGCCAAGGCACACAGGACGTTGGAAAGGCCGAAGACCACAAGTGACTTTCCGTTTGGCCTGCCAGAACCGAAAAAATCTGTCTGACTTATTTCTTCGACCTCACCATGAAAGAGACCATGGAAATACTCGGGCCGGTTGCCACCACTGGCCTGTTCATCGCATCCCACCAGCGAGCCGTCACTTCTCCACCATGCTCCCAAGCCACCTGCAAAGCAGGTGCCAAAAACTGCCGCACCTTTTCTGGCCTCCTCGCACTGTTATGCATCGGATGCCCTTCAAGATAGCTTCTGCAGGTTTTGGAAAGTGAAGACCCTGCCTTTTGCAGACCTTCCACCTCGCCGCTCGCAGGCCCCATAATCAGTGTGGCAAGCCTGCTATCAGACACAGGTACAGCCCCCCCCCCCCGCCAAACACATTCCTCGCATGACGGGTTTGACAGGTTTTATAATCGCAAGTCAGTCCTCTTACAGTACTGTGTTCGAAAGACACCGTGCGCAAGCGGTGTTAGGCCCAGCCAAAACTGTCGCATCTGGTTTCGCGCTAACTGGTCCGTTCCCGCTTTTGCATGGTTTACTGTTTTTGTTGAAATGTGAAGACGTGCGCATGTACACGCGCAACAGCAGCCCGAACGCAGGGCCCAGCACTCAGTTTCAATTCATTGAGATGCTTCCCGTCAATGAAAACACTAAGGCTCAGGGACTTTCTTCTTTACGTTCCTTTTCTTCCTTCCTTTCCTTTCCTTCCTTGCTCCTTTCTTTCCTTTCCTTTCACTTTCCTTTCCATTCATTTCCATTCCTTTCCATTCCTTTCCATTCCTTTCCATTCCTTTCCATTCCTTTTCATTCCTTTCCATTCCTTTCCATTACGCTCGAATATGTTTCCTCCATTCCCTTCCATTCCCTTCCATTTCCTTTCCATTCCTTTCCATTCCTTTTCATTCCTTTCCGTTCCTTTCCATTCCTTTCCATTCCCTTCCATTCCCTTCCATTCCCTTCCATTCCCTTGCATTCCTTTTTTTCCTGTCCTGTCCTTTGCTTCCTTTCTTTCCGTTCCTTCCCTTGTGTCCTTTCCGTCCTTGCCGGACTCAACCCTCCCTCGGCTCTTCTTCTCAGCGGGCCCCACCCCATTCATGGGATGGAGTTGGAGGGTTGGCATGATACAACATGTGAGCTGACTCGGTCTGGGCAGCGAAGCGAAGTATGCTGGGCATGAGGAATGCAAAAACCCCCCCAGCCCCCCCATGCACAGTTGCGCGCCCATGCTTGTGGTCCGAATGAGCGGCGCAAAGACATCACATCACGGAAAGCTGCACTGTTAAACTGTGGTAGATCCCTTGGTCGGGGAAAACCGTGCAGTCTCTGACACGGCAGAATTGGAATGCCAGCCCTAATAGGGCTTTTCCCCGGACAGAACATGAGAGCACTGAGGGCAGGAGCGCTCTAGCATGCTGGACATCGAGGACACCTTACTTCGGCACCGCCTTGACCGCAAGTAGCGTGCAGGAGCGGGTGGGGGCGTAGGTAAACATGGACAAACTGAGCACTCAAAGATTCCCTCTCCATTGCTCCAAGGGCTTGAAGGGACCTTGAGTCCCGGAGGCCTTTTCTCATCCTTCCTGCGCACTTGGAGGCGCTCTCTCTTCTCCTTCTTCTTCTGCTTCTTCTTCTTCTTCAGGGCATGGAGACGCAGGCGCCTCGGGCACTAGGAGTGCCCGAAATGTGTCAGGTCTTCGTGAAACTGAGCGCGGGACGTTGGAGACAGATCCACTCACTGCACGTTCCCCCTCTTTTCACAGCCCCAAACGGTACAAACTCAACCCCTAATGGTTGAAGCCATTTGACCCCCCGCACCAAGCGGCACTGATGTGCTCACGTTGTTCCGGCGTGTGAGACGGTCGATACGTTTGACCCTTTCTTCTTCTTCTTCCCCGGGTTAGGGGGCACTCTCTCTCTCTCACTCTCTCTCTCTCTCTCTCCCTCTCTCTCTCGCGCTATCTCTTCCTTCCTTCCTCAGCACATAGCCCCCGAAGGGACCGCCCGCGAGGGCATGCTTCAGCGCACTGTCTGTGTGTGAGACTAATCGAGGTGCTCATTGTTGTCCCCGACCGACCGCTGTGCTTACCTCGATAGAGTGTGTGTGTGTGCTCCCGGAATGAAAGTTCTTTTGGGGTGTGGCTCTCTCTCTCCCTCTCTCGCTCTCTTCTTCTTCTTCCTTTCTTTCTTTCTTTCTTTCTTTCTTTCTTTCTTTCTTTCTTTGGGGCACGGGGCGAGCCCCGCGCTACTGCGCTGCCCCGCTCCCGCATCTAGCAACTGGAACTCACCTGCTTTGGTCACATTGGACCTCCCCCCGTTTGTCCCCCTCGGGGAATGTCTCGAACCCCACTATCCCACTATCCCCCTCTTTCTCTCTCTCTCTCTCTCTCTCGCTCTCTCTCTCTCTCTCTCTCTCTCTCTCTCTCGTCACAAAAAGTCATGACCCTGTATGTTGCATGGCTGACAATCTGTGCCTCAGGCCAGCTGGACACCGCACACGGATTTGGACTTTGTTGTATTCATTGTTGTGCTCCTGAGCATGGAACAACTCCAACGAGGGAAGCACTCTGATACATCAGCTTTTTCACAGAAGCACGGCGAAAATGACCCCCCTGTCCCTACTCGCCAAAACTTGTCAGAATCGCATAAAGGCATGTTCCCATGTTAGTTGGGGTTCCAGGAGTTCAGGAAGTTACCCCACGTTGTGCGTTTTTTGTTCGCAAGCGTTCGCAAATCGTGCGAAGGCGTGTCGCTCATCAGCTGCCTAGAATCCTCGTAGTTGTCGTCAATTTTTGGAGGTTGGGGCCTTAAAAGCGCTGACGGTCGCGAGGATGAGGCCGAGGGGTGCCTGCCATCCTCGGAAGCTTCGTTTGGTGTGGCCTCAAAGATGCGGAAGACCATCACGAGAAGGAGACATCTGGGGGGCGCGTCGTGCTACTGGCTTCTATGGCCAACAGTTACGAGCATGAGTCATGTGGCACGTCATCCTCGTAACTGTCGTCACTTTTGGAATTTAATTTGGCGTCGAGGCTTCAAAAGTGACGACATTTACGAGGATGAGCATGTGGGGCGCGCCATCTTGTAGTTGTCGTCGCTGTTGAAGTTTTGGGCCGTACTTGTAGCAGCTTATTGTTGTTCATGTTCGGGGTGTTGTTCAGCGACGTTTTTAGTTTGTACTCTGCCGGTGTTTTGGTTTGGGCCTCGGGCCCCATGTCCTCATCCGAGGGCTTTCAATTTGATTCCAAGGGTTCTTCTCCTTAGCTTGGGCAGTCTGGGTGGGGCTTAAGGTCGACCCTAGCAGACAAACTGTCTGGGGGGGGCCCAATGCTGTTGGGGGAGTAGGGTGCGAATAGGGTGTTGGAAGTCGGGCTTAACCTAAACAGAAAGTTCACTTCCAACAACTCGACCCTAAATAGTGGGGATTGGGAGCGGTGGATGGTGAGGTGTGTTGATATCAGGGTGCGAGGAAGGGGGTGGGGGAGGTTTGGGGATGATTTTTGCCACCACTCTAGAACTGCGGGTGATGGTGGGTAAGGGTGGGTAGTGGTGGTCATGCTGGGCAATGGCGGGACTGCGGGTAATGGTGGGAATGGTGGGAATGGTGGGAATGGTGGGAATGGTGGGAATGGTGGAAGTGGCGCGTAGTGGAAGGCAATGGGTACCGGGTCACGGATCGCGAAGTGGGGGGAATGGTATGGAATCTTGGAACTCGTGGGTAGCGGATGGTGTGTGATGCTGGAGATGGTGCATGGTGAGGCATGGTCGGAGGCAAATGGTGGGAATGAGGGGTAATGGTGCGATGAGTAATGGTGTGTGGAGATGGTGGGGAATGGTGAGAATAGTGGGAAGAATCGTCGGTAATGGTGTGTGATAGTACTGGCGGGAACATTGATGGGAACTGATGGGAATCATGAGTAACGGTGTTGCACGGTGGGTGCGTAGATGGTGAGTAAGCGGGTATTGGTGGGAATGTCGGGTAAGGGGGGGGGGGGGGGGGGGGTGGGGGCAGGGTGGGGCGAGAGGGGGGAAGGAAAAAAACACCAGAATTTAATGGGAGGCACCATGTAAATACAATTCCAATCCGCAGGGACACGAACCGAAGTCGTCAGAATAGAAGCGAAAAACCCTCTGAATTGCCCGAAGAGTCGACAGATTTAATTCCGACAAGCCCTTGTAAGTCCCTTGTCCGGGCCATGGAGCATAGACAAAAAAACGTCAGAGGAAAAAAACACGTGTATATATATATATAGCCAATTGCAAAAACTTCGGGCTACAATATGCTACAATGTCAAGCTGAACGCATTGTCCGTTCCTTCATGTTGTCACTGCGGTGCTCGATCTCAAGCACGACGCAACCGTGGCCCCACAACACCTGCCAACCACTTAAATGATGATTTCCGCCTGTGACGAGTCCCATAGCCTAGAATCAAGGAGCTCAAGACTGTTCCATGGCCTTGTCGATATCGAACATCAACCTGCTCTCACAGCCGTGGCAACTTACACATTTGCTCGGCATGCCTTCGCAGGTCGAAACACAGCAACGCACACACGCATACGCACACGTGCACGCGCTCGCACGCCCGTGCACATACACACATACATGCGGGATGGGGCTTTTGCATGTCACCAATGGAGGCAGCCATCCGAATACTTCACATGCTGCCAAGCCCCCTTTGTGCAAATTCAATACTAGTATGCTGGGTTGGAAAAGACTCAAAAGTCTATATTGAATGAATGTCTACTGATGGCATGGTCGCGATTGAAACCAAGGGTTTCGCGCAGCGCAGCTTAAAGAAGCAAAATGGTCAGTTGTAAGATGGGTTTGGACAGGCGAAGATCTACTGAAAAGCCTTGTGAGCAAGCTTGCACGGCTGAAAAAGTGCAAGTTCAGGGGGTGAAGTGCAAACGCCCTCATTTGCAAACACAATGCTCGCATGATGGGTATGGATGATATGCATTTTGGTTGAGAAAAGATGTCTATTGAGACAAGCTTGCATGGCTTAAAAAGAGTGGGAGGGGGGGTTGGTGAGCCGTGTAGCCTATCTTGGAGGAAGGGCTACTGATGAAGCAAGCGCAGCCCCGTCCCCTTGCGGGGTTTGAACTGGGGGGCAGCTCATATGGTTTTAAGGAGTGCATTTGACTATTGATGGCATGATATTCTTCGAGGCAAGAATGTGCAGCATGCGCAGCTTGAAAGCACGGGGGGGGACTCATTGTGAGAACGCAGACGGACCGACTCACTGACCCACCCCCTATGGCGTGTCAACGCAATCTAAACCCTGAACCCTAAACAGAAAATCATCAACACGAAGAACAATAAATACAACCATACAAGAACTCAGACCCCCCTCCCCATTTCAAAAATTGATGACGATACAAAGTTGTTGCTTGGCTTTGGCTCCGTGGATCTTGGAAGGAAATCCAACGCCTGTATGTCGTCTTTACACAGAAAACCTCTACTGCCCTAAAACATGTTTATAGGACACACATGCTTCTTCTATGTTTTATACTGAGTAAAACAGAAAACCTCCATGTCCTCTACATGTTCAGACGGAGACCCGTATCTTGTCTCTGCATTACTCGCAGGCATCCATGTGTTCGCATATCCAAGAAGCCGAGAAGCCAGACAACCCCAAGCAGCCGAGAAAGCCAAAAAAAAACGAGAAGCCAAGAGAGGGGCTCTTCCCAAAAGCCACAAATGGACAAGAAGGATCGAATGGTGTTGGTGGTCATTTAAGGCGAGTAAACTTGCTTGATGGGCATGGCATCCCCATCTACGGATAAACCAAGAACATAAAGGAGCGGGAATATGAATACCCAGACTATTTCCCTCGCCTAGAAGGTGACCAACCTTAGAGACAGCCTCTCAACAGCCAGAAGCTCTTCGTGAGACAGCACACAAGCTGAACTCTGCCAAGGAACGCAGGAGTTATCATCGAAGCAGATACTACAGAGATGACGGCTTCGTTGCCGCCCTCTGCCTCGGGCACCTTCGGTGAGAATGGCAGCCCAGGGCTTCTAGCAAAGCCATACACAGCCGCTGCTGCAATCTGCAAGCCCTCTTAATAATCTTCGCTTCAGGTTTCCCGTGACGCTTCGCTTCTTCGTTGCCGGCTTCTGTCTTTTCTGCTTCTTTTGATTTTTACCTGCATTCGGATCTCATCCGAGTTGACGTTCACAGTCTCGAAGAGTCTTTATTCAGACCTCGCCTTGGGTCGGTCTCAACCTTGTTTTCATCATTGTGGGAAACGCTCATGAAACGCGCGCTGGTGTGGAGGTCCGGCGTGTTTTTGTGGCCTGGGCCCTACTTGTACATAGCAGTTGAGGGTACTTGGGCTAAGTCAGGACAGCTGGCCTATGCTGGCCAATACTGGCCTGCTAATTAATGCTTCGCGTTCAGTTTGGGGCTTGTTGCAGCACTTGCTGGTTTATTGTAGACAAGCGAGCCGTTCTTTGCCAGATTCTGTTCGACATTATGCAGGTGCGCTTTCTCAAGCGGGCACCTCCCCGGCATCTGGGAAGTGAAAGTTGAGCTGAAGGCCCTGCTCCTGAGAACGTGCTGTGCTTCTACGAAAGGGTGTATCGCAGATATCGCAGTACCACCTCGGATATGCTTGTCGGGGCCTCATGATGGCCACAAGCCAAGGCAGCAAACATGCGGTGCACCCGGTCCCGGGCGCAAGAAGTGAGGGACTTCATCAGGCCAATGGAACTCTGATCCGCCACCTGTGAAGCTCAGTCCCCGCCCCTGGGGCATGCAAAGATCTATTTTAACAAAAAAGACCATGACCACAGCGCTGCCCTGACACCTTCAGAACAAACGTGAACATCAGGCCGCCCCCCAGCAGGAACTGGGCCATGTCCAGGACCTCGACGGACCAAAGAGGCGTCCTAAAGTTTACCATAGTTTACCTGTGTGGCCTTGTAAACTTGTTTTAGCTTCTAATGTTGACTTCACATTAGTGGATCCACCCGCAATTGTAAAATCCCACTGCCGGAACACAATAGTGTAGCCCGCCACAATTGTAAATCCGACCCGGGAAATCCGGTTTTTACGGGCGTGGTGCTACTACCTAATACTAAAGCTAATACTACGTCCTACCAGGATTTAGGCGAACAGTATTGAGGAGGCCCTGGCCGGAGAGATTGATCAATGAAGGGGGGGGGGGGGGGGGGGGTTTATTAATGCGAAGTCAACATTACGCTGCCTCACTCTAGTGCTCCACGACGATTCCCAGAAAGGCCTGCGCAGCTAAACAAATTCAATTGCACCTTTCTACTGTCTAAGCCCTCACCTGGCAGATGCCCGGCTTGTCCGCGCCCCATCCCCGGAAGACGAGGATGTTTCCACCTCAAGTTCGGAGACTTGTGCCGAACACGTCCAAAGTGCAATGAAAGGTGCAACATGGTGCAACATGGTGCAACATGCTTGTCATTTCGGCACACCGTGGCTACTCACAACATAGGGAGGCCACTCGCCCCAACCGCAGGAGCGTCCGTCCCCGCCATGGCGAGAGAAGCAAACGGTGCTTAATGCTCGAGCCAGGCGGCCACGAGGCGTCTGCAGTTCTTCTGCAGTTCTTTTGCCCAGCGAAAACTGAAACAGCTAGCCCTCCACCACCAAGGACCCCTCGCCAGCCTTCACGACATGATTTCCGTACACGAAGTGCTGTTCGCCAGAAGGCTTCAGCCAAACACGGTACTGTGCTAGTCTTGCCTCGGATGTTGGAAAGATGCAGACCAGGCATGGCACTGGCATGGCACTGGCATGGCATATCATGGGATCAAGCGGAGTTTCGCGATCTTACTGCGATCCTGCTCCAGCGGCAACGCATCTGACTTGGCTTTGAGTCTCTGAGTTTCAGGCAAGATAGTCCAAGGCCGTGATCAACAAGCGGAACTTCCGGCTGTGGGTGAACTGCACTGCGTTGCACTTCAGTTCTTTGTGATCCTCTGTGCTCACTCGACTCGCTGTAAAGCTCCTGACGCCATGTCACCAGGCCTTGCCGATGCACACGCCTGCGCTCAGAAGCTCCTCAAGTCTCCGAGACACGTTTTTCTGGCGGGTCGCGCCTGTCCCCTAAAAAGTTCAACACAACTCAACATGTTTCGTTGCAGAAACCTTCAAAGCGCACTTGATTTTTCATCTGACAAGCCAAAGTACACAACATTGAGCAAGGTCGCAATGATCTCAAACATCAAGTAGACTGACGAAGAGAAGACCGCGAAATAAACGAAAAATGTAAGTCTAATTGAGAAGAGCTTGAGAGAAAAAACGAGTTGCAGCCTTATATTCGCGACAAAGGCATGTTGTTCGCTTGTCACGTGTGGATCTGGTATTTTCTAGCCTTGCTTTCCTCATAAATTACAGAGCAAGGTCAAGGACTATCTGGCGCATGCCTCGGTTGCTTAATTCGTGCTCCTAGTGTGAGAGTTCTCTGTTTAGGGGTGGCTTTGTTTTTACGGTTTGGTCCGCAGCACCCCCCCCCCCCGCCCTGAAGCTCATGGCGCAGCCCCCCACCCACCCAGCGCGCCTCCCACACTGCCCACCCATAGCAAGAGCACGCAAGAGCGAAACAATGTTATGAATTACATAGTTAGAAGCATACTCATACGAGCTCGACTAAACAAGTAATCAGAAACGTCATCATGGCAATAGAACTCTTTGAATAAGAACAGTTCTAGGAAAAGTAATCATCATCGAAAATCGCAATATCAAGAATGGTAAGGGAACAGAAATAATAGTAGCACCACGAAAAATAACGACGATAATAATCGCCCGAACGCTTCTTGTAATAATTGCAACAGAGCAAGATTTAGCAAGCACTAGGATTATTGCGCACACGCACAGGAATAATATGTGCAATGATAAGCGTCGTAATAATTAATCTGAGTAATCGGGCTGTTTTTGAGAATAAGCATACGAATCTGAAAGGCAAGAAAATAGTTGTAGAGGTAATCGTAGTCATGGTCGTAATACGTCGTAACCATAACAGTACTTGCAATCGAAAGTCATACTGGCAATGGTAATGACAACCGTCATCTGCAGAAAAACCATAAGAATAAATGGTAATCGTAAGGTTGCCGGTATGTTACGGCGATATTAGTCTGATGCATGCGCGACATGAGAATATGCCCAGACGAGAATCTTAAGATCTCTTGTATGTGAGTAGGACACACTTTCACGAGATGAGAACGTTGTTCATAGCAAAGAAAACCTCTTTTCTGTTTCATATATGTTGAGAGCGCCAAGGCAACCCGATGAGGCACCAAAGTGCACATGGCCAAAAAAAACACAGACAGAAAGAAGGTGGCTCCATAGAGGTGGGTCTGTGGCGCCGGGGGGGGCGGTTGGGTGTGTTTGGTTGGGGTGGGGAGGGGCGCCTGGATGGTGTGGTTTGGGGGGGAGGGGGCAGGGGGGGCGGAGCGGGGGGCTGGGGTTTGGGGGGGTGGGGGGGCCCCAAGCCTCGACCTCCTTCCGCCACAAACTATCGGTATTTTCAGTGCATGCCTGGCCTTGGTAACACTTCTGGCCAAAAGGCTAAACGCTCAAGACCAAGCACAAGACAAACAAACAAGTTGTTTGGAAACATCCAGATTCTGTGTTCTTTTGGTGAACCTGCCCACTCACCGGTCCATTCAGATTCATTTACTTCGTTTGCTCTGAGCTTCTCCTTCTTGGGGATGTGTCCAGAGTGCTTCAACACGCGCTCACTCATGTAGAAGACACGCTCCTGAAACAAACTGCGGCACAGCCACGGAATGTGTCAAAGTGACGCAAGAATAATCATGAAGAGCACTGGCGACCCTCACTGGCGAGAACCTTGTGAAGCCTGAAAAGGAAAATGCCATCGGGTCTGTCGACCATTTGTCGCAGATTCTGGCCAATGTACCTTCGGCATCAGTCCAAGCTTAGGCCATGTTCAGCTTCGCATTTCTCCATCTTGAAGGAACTGGAGACTCACTTTATGCTTTCCCATTTCAGGAGAGTCCACCATAGCTTGTTGTTTATATGTCTCGCTACTTTTGCAATGTCCTCTTGCCCCGCTTGCTCTGTGCACGTCTATGGTAGAGATGCCTGCGCGACCCAAATTTTGAAAAATAGAACTTGGGCGAGCATGCAAAATGCTGCCCTCTGCAAAGGCACACAAACTGCTTGAATCGGTCAAGGAACGAAACAATAGTTCATGAGTCCTCCCAAGCTCAAGACATTGGGAGTTGCAGTTGTTAGAAAAAAGTGGAGACTTACAGTAATGTCTGGGTCCCACTCCCACGCGCACAAGATAATTACTTTGCTGCAGTCTCCTCTAAACTCAGTTTCCTCCCCCATACCTGTCCGCCTGTCCGCAGTGAACGGTGAGCGGCAACTCTGAATTCGAGTTCTTAGAAGGCCGAGGTCTCAACAAGATCTTCAAGGGGGGGGGGGGGCACTTCTTCAACTTCTCGAAGACAAGCCTCAGAAACCAGTCCGACAAAATAGAATGCCTATATGGAGGCAATGTGGAAACTGCAATCGGTCCAGCCGCTCCAGCGACAGCAAAACATCATGGGATTGAGCAGCACTGGCGAGCTGGTTAAAGTCTGTGACTTCTTTTGGGCTCGCCCAGGCCAGGCCAGCAACTAAGCCGCTCGCCTTGTTTCATCGTCTGTCAAGGCTCGCATCGGCCTGAAACCGTATCTCCTGTCAAAGCTCCAGTTTGTCAGGGAAGGTCCGGCGCCCATCATTCAGTTCGTTGCCATTCCTGCGACGTTAGCAGCCACGACGACTAGAAGATCCAGTCGCGAGCCGAGATACAAGTGTCAGATGTCGGATGGCGTATGCTAAGAAAACTCTTTTGGGACAGGTTCATTTGTGCATTCTTCGTTTTGTTGTAAGCAGAGCAACATGGAAAACCCGGCGAGCGTTCCTCCATGAACTTCTTCGAGCTGAACACTTGGCTCTTGAGCTGTCGAATGCATCTCAAGTCCCTTTCCATGTCTAGCTTACTTCAATTTTGGTCCTGGTTGACTCTAGCCACATCCAGCAACCTACGTTCCTGCCAAGTTCCTTTCGAGGGGCGAGTTCCAGGACCTTCATTCATGAAATATGCCCTTTCGGGCTTTAGGCATGTTTGACCATGTTTTGGGTGCCAGAGATAAGCCTTCCTGATGAACAAGGCCCAAATCAGGGTGCATTGCCAGATTATAGGGGAGGGGGGGGTGATTAGCGGGGGCCTGGCTAGGCTTCATGTCATGATCACTAGTACAGTAGGGAACAATACTTCTGAAGGAGTTCTGATTTCAGGACTGAAACTTCGGGTTTGGAGCGTGTTCGTGCTTGTCCGAGATGCATATCAATCTATGTAGTTGAACGGAATGCCCTTTCAGTTCCACAACAAGACTGCAACAAATAGAGAAATGAAACGAGAAATAGCGCAGCAAAATCGCAATTCCAGTCCTTCACGCCTGCTCCCACTTCCAGAGCGTGGCGGAACCAGCTTCAGATCTGTTGATGTGTGTGTGTGTTATTTCATGCCATGGTGGTGGCAGATTTGGATGTCCATGGTTGGCTTACAGCCCTGGCAGGGTCTTGTTACCCTATTCTCCCCATGATGACCTGTGCTGTGCCCGGGGGCTGCAAGATGGCATGTTGCAAGAGCGTCGAGTGGATCAAGATGTAAAGCATTCTTATCACCCCTACGTTAAACGATCAATTTGGCCAGGCACTTGCAGCCTCTCCTCACAGATTGACAGGGCACGTACAAGCACCACAAGCACACAGCAAATCATGCAAGGACGAGACCTCATCATTCGTGCGCAGTTGCATCTGCCAGCGAGCATCATGTTTTCTGGACCTCTCCCTAGCTTTGAGGAATGGCAG